GTTGAACAACCTAGAAGAAATGGACAAATTTTTAAAATCATACAAACTTCCAAGACTGAATCAGGAAGAAATTTAAAAAATCTGAATATACCAATCACTAATACAGAGACTGAAACAGTAATCAAAAAGCTTCCAGGGCTTCCCTGGTGGCGCAGTGGTTGAGAGTCCGCCTGCCGATGCAGGGGCCACGGGTTTGAGCCCTGGTCCGGGAAGATCCCACATGCCCCGGAGCAACTAAGCCTGTGCACCACAACTACTGAAGTCCATGTGCCTACAGCCTGTGCTCTACAAGAGAAGCCACGGCAATGAGAAGCCCACGCACCGCAACGAGGAGTAGCCCCTGCTCGCCGCAACTAGAGAAAGCCCACACGCAGCAACGAAGACCCAACACAGCCAAAAGTAAATAAATAAATAAATATTTTAAAAAAGACAACAGCCATTGTCACCACAAGAAGAGCTTGAGCCCAGGTGTTGTTCCACACCTGATCCATTCATAGCCTTGTTTAACCACCAGAGTCAGAAACCCACTTGGACAAGGTTAAGCACTAGGTGGGCTGGCCGGGGGCCACCTGGGACCCCTGCCCCCACTCTCCCATCTCCCTCCCCGTGCTGCAGAGGGACCCAGGCACGGACGTCCATCCTTGGAGCCTACCGCTAAGACAGAAATCTCCAGATCGAAAAGGCCTGCTGGCGGGCCCTACCATCACCACCCTTGTGTGCCAGAGACCAGCAGCGGCTACCAGGAGTGGGGAGAGCCCTGCCCCACAAACACCCTTCCAGAGAGGAACCTCGGGACCCCACACGACGGTCTCCACAGTGTTTCTCTTCTCCGGGTTTTACTTCGTAAAGGGCATCAGCCATCCCTGTGTCTGCAGAGCGCCGAGCTCCCCTGCAGGCTGCTCTGTGCTGCACGTGTTCGGTGTGAATCCTCAGGAGGTATATTCTCTACTCTGTTCTGGGCCACAGTTTGAGATGGTTTTCCTTGCCATGTTCTGTGGGTGGGAGAGTTTGATTTCTAGATCTTTGAGTCCTTAGAGCCCCATCTTGGGCACATCCTGGGTTTTGTCTCCTGCTGGCTGTGTTCAATATCAAGTTCGGCTGGCAGGGCAAAGGCCACTTACGGCTCTGCTGAGCCTTCTTGGGGTCCTTCTTTCACCTAACTCAGCTCCTGATCATTTGTTGCTACCCGGCGAGGTTTGTTTTCTGTTCAGGACTTTTTTCCTTGTCTTCACATGGAGGCTCAGCCGGGACACCTAGGGGGAGTCCCCTCCCCTGGAAGGTGCTGCCCTTGGTGCTTCCATTCCGCCCACCCCTCTTCCACCTGGAGTTCTGCATCCTTCTCCCCAACCAGTTCCCAAATGTGGTGTCTTGGGGCTCAGCCAGGAACCCCTCCCTGCACTCCTTCCCTGCAAACCCCATGCATTTCCCATAAGCTGACAGCTCCCCTGATGTTCCGGACACTTCTGGCCTCTGGCTTGCTGTGTATCCGGGTCCCAGTGGGTCCGCCTCCAAAGTGCATGGATGCCCCTCACCACACAGCGCCCCGCCTCACCCCTGCTGCTGTAGAAGCCACCTGGTCTCCCCCCTCACCCTGCCCACCCCTCACTCTGTTCTCCACACAGCAGCCCAAGAGGTCTTTCTAAACACACACCAGACCCTCCTCTGCTCAGGCCCTTCATTTATTCCCATCACACTTGGACGAACGTGCAAAGCCCTTTTCCTGGACCATCGAGACGTGGGGTCTCTGTCTCTGCTGCTGTTCCCTCGGTCCCCATGTTCCCACCGTTCCAGCCCCTCCAGACACTCCCCACTCTTTTTTTTTTTTTTTTTTTTTTTGCGGTACGCGGGCGTCTCACTGCTGTGGCCTCTCCCATTGCAGAGCACAGGCTCCGGACGCACAGGCTCAGCGGCCATGGCTCATGGGCCCAGCCACTCCGCAGCATGTGGGATCTTCCCGGACCGGGGCACGAACCCGTGTCCCCTGCATCAGCAGGCAGACTACCAACCACTGCGCCACCAGGGAAGCCCAGACACTCCCACTCTTGGCCTCAGTCCCCTTCTCCCAGACTGGACAGGCCCGAACTAGCCCCAGTCTGGCCCCGTGTCTGTATTCTCCGCTGCACTGCTTGCGCTCATGGATCAATGGTAACGGAGTCCCCTGTCCCCGGAGGCCTTCCACAAAGCCCATGTCATGGATCAGCTATGACAAAGGGACATGGCCAAAGCAAAGCTCCTGTTCACGGCTCACTTCCTAGAGCAGGAACGCAAAGGCAGCTCTCCAGGCTTACCTTGGGGTCCCTGTCTTCCAATCCTGTGGGTTTTGATGCTTTCAGTGAGAATTCTGACCACTATTGCTTGGCTTCCTGAGTCGCCCTTGGGAAGGGGAAGTGGATCTGAGTTGCCTCTCCACCATTACAGAAGCGCAAGCCTGGCTTCTGATTCTTCAAGAGGACCCAGTGAGACTGACGCCCGAATCACACAGAAAACAGACTTCTGACCCGCAGACCGCAGCAGCCAGCCCAGGAAGCCAGCCTGCTGTCTCTAGGGACAATCCAGGAAGCTAAACAATAACCCCTGTAACAATCAGCCCCAAAAGGCCAGAATTTGGTCGATAACTGACAGCTTCCCTAATTTCAGTCCCTACCTCCAACTCAGGACCAACCAGAGAAAGCCAAACACCCTCCCCCAACCAATCACATGGGAGCCCCCCTTCTAGTGAGGGCACCTCCAGCTTCCCCAGGCCCACAGCCCCCACCAGGGCAGCGCTGAGCCCTCCTTCTCCTCCAGGAAGCTGTCCCACTGCCCTGCCTGCCCTTGAGTCTCTGCCAAACCAAGTGATGGGAGCAACTCCCTCGCTACAGCCAGCTCTGAACACACACCTCTGCCTTCCCCATCTGGTTGGTTTTGTTTATTTCCACACAAGAAAGCTAGATTTTATGAAAAATCTCCAATTACTTTTTTTTTTTTTTTTTTTTTGACTGCGTTGGGTCTTCGTTGCTGCGCGCGGGCTTTCTCTAGTTGCGGTGAGCGGGGGCTACTCTTCATTGCAGTGCGCAGGCTTCTCATTGCCGTGGCTTCTCTTGTTGTGGAGCACAGGCTCTAGGGCGCGTGGGCTTCAGCAGTTGTGGCACGTGGGCTCAGCAGTTGTGGCTCGCAGGCTCTACAGTGCAGGCTCAGTAGTTGTGGCACACGGGCTTAGTTGCTCCGCGGCATGTGGGCTCTTCCCAGACCACGGCTCAAACCCGTGGCACCTGCATTGGCAGGCGGATTCTTAACCACTGCGCCACCAGGGAAGTCCCTCCAATTACTTTAATGTTGAGAACAAACATAAAATTTTAAATGTCATGGAGGTGACAGGGCTGCAAGGTTGTCATGTCTGTTGAGTAAAGTGGGAGCCTCTGACCTCTGACTCCTAGTGGCAGGAATTGTGGGAAACAGTTTTGGCCTCTTTTCTAAGCCGGCAGGGTGGTGCTGTGGGCCCTGGCCTGGCCCTGGGGATGCGACCTGCAGGCTTGTACAGATCCACTCCTTGGTCCCTGTCCTCCCGGCAAGCCTTGCTCCGCTCTCCGAGCTGTCAGGCCCCCATCATGAAGGAAGGGGTGTGCCTCTGGCTCGCTGGGCTTGTTGAAAAGCCCTCCCATTGTGAGCCCATTAGTGCTAATTCTCTACCCAAGGCTCCATCTGAGGCAGGACAAGCCCACTGGGCTTCGATTCAAGGGTTGATGGAGACACCACGAGGCGGGAGGCTCCACCCTGCTCTCCCCCTGATCACGGGGCTGGACCCCCACTTCCTCAGCTCCAGGACACCCAGGCCCCTGGTCCCACATTCCTTCTGCCCAGGCCTCACCCTTATCAGCAGGACAGGCAGTGGGCTCTCCCGGGGTCTCCCTGCCCCTCACGGTCCCACCTCCCAGTCAGCCAGCAGAGGGCCTTTCTGAAACATACTGGCCGTGCCCACCCACCCTGACACCTGGCCTGGCTCCATGCCCTGTGTGGTCCAGGTCTGCGGCCTCCCCAGCTCCCTCCCACTTGAGTGACGTGGTTATCAGACTCCCCTGGAACTGGGGTCCCCAACGCCGGGGCCGTGGACCAGCACCGGTCGGCAGCCTGTTAGGAAGCGGGCCGCACAGCAGGAGGTGAGCGGTGGGCGATGGAATCTTCATCTGCCGCTCCCCATCGCTGGCATTACCGCCCGAACCACTCCCACCACTGCCCCCCGCCCCCCGTCCGTGGAAAAATTGTCTTCCACGAAACTGACCCCTGGTGCCAAATAGGTTGGGGACCGCTGCCCTAGAAGACCCCGTTTCTTTGTGCCTGGCAGCACCACCCCTCATGGCCCCTGGACTGTCCACATCTTCCGGCCTCTCTCAGCCTCCAGGTCCCCAGCCGGTGAAATGCCTGCACCAGTGCACACCCGGGACCAGAGGGCTGCATTCACCGGTGTCCCTGGTCAGACAACCAGCCTGGATGAATGGATGAAGAGTAGGGACCCTGAACAGGGGTGATGCCGTGGGGCGCAGCCACCCAAGCCTTCCTACCAGGACCACCCGGCAGCCCCTGCAGCACACCCTTCACCCTGGATGTCCCGCTAACCCAGCAGACCCCATGGGAGCCCGAGGGGACCACAGTGCTGTTGGATCATGAGGGAAGGGGCAGGGCTCCCCGACAGCCCCACACCCAGGAGCCCTGAACAAGAGGTGCCGATAGAGCCTTGAGAAACTTGGGGGAGGAAAGAAATTTCTGGAGAGGAGCAAGAGGCAGGAGAAGCAACCGCTACATGCACTGACTTGGTAAGATCAGGGTGTGGAAAAGTTCATGAGCTGTGAGAGATCCGATGAGGACGGGACTCCCACCCAGGGGCCGTGATGGTCCCCACAGAGAGGGGCAAGCGTGTGAACGGCGTGGCCTCCCCTATCTGGTCTTGGGCATGAGAGTTTGGAGGAAACCCCAAACCCAGCTGACCCCACAGAACCAGTGGGGACACTATGCGCTTAGCTCACCATGTAACTGATGCTCCGGGAGATCACAGCTGAGCCTCAGTTTCCCCATCCATCCTGACACACAGGAGCTGTGCAGAGAGAAAAGGCCTGCAGGTCTTGGAAGAAGATGGGCTGAGGCCAGGCCAGAGGGGCCAGTGAACACCCCCAGGGCCCGAGGACCCCACGTCCCTGCCCCGGGGCTGGTGAGCCCAGGGAACATCATTCCTGGAAACTCCTGGTTCTCCATCTAGCCCTCGGGGCCGAGAACCTGCCTGAAGGCCTGGCCTGCCAACACCTCTTGCCCCTCCCCTTCCCCCCAAGCCCACCGGGCCTGCATCCCCCCTGGCCTGGCCTCCCCAGCACCCAGCAATTAGAGCTGGCCTCCACTCCCCCTCCAGATGAAAAGTGCAGTCCCAGTCTCATGGCTGTGTGAAGGGTTCTCTTAGAAGCTGAGGAAATGGGTTAATGGTGGTGGCCTGCCAGGGAAGTGACCTGGTTCCCCACCACTGACCACCATGCTTTCCATAAGTCTTGAAGGCATGGGAGTGCTCTGAGTAAAATGTGACTGTACCACACCTGCAGCACAGCCCCAGTGACACGAGATTGCTTGGGGGGAACAGTCTGTGTATATATGGTGGGATGTGACAGATACACATGTGCTTACATAGGAAAAAGCCAGATGAAGGTGAACGAAAACATTAACAAGGTAGCTCCAGGACACAGATCACGTGTGATTTTCTTTTTCTTCTTTATGCTTTTCTGAATTGTGCAAGTTTTCTGCAATGTGTATCAATTATTTTTCTAATTTAAAAACTTTGAAATTACCTTCTAAATAACCTCAGTTGTAATCTGTAGAAAGCTTTCTAGATAAGAGGCACCTTCACTAATTTACCACCTCATGTAACCCTCACACCTACCCATCATGAAAGATGCGGTCGTTGCCTCCGTTTCATAGGTGGGAGAACTGAGGGGCACGTGAAGGGAAACGACCTGTCTGAGGTCACACAGCAAATGAGACCAGAGCCCGATTCCCAAGGACAGACTCCTTCCACGATGGGTTTACCCAGAGGCCTTACATCTTGAGCCTTCAAATCTTAGGCAAGACTTCAACGTTAGCCAATGCCCTTGTGTTGATCATAAAATACATTCTGAGATGTAATCTGCTAACAGCCCTCACCGCCCCAAAAGCCTCAACCTAAATCACAGAGATCAAAGAATGTCAAGGACAGGAATGTCCGCTAACGTGCTATGCCCCAGGTGCCAAATGCTTTTGCAACACCTGGGTTCCCTAGGCAACAGCCTCACCCCATGCACAGGTGAGAAACAGTAAGTAGTTCAAGGTCACAGAACTAGCAGAGCCAGGGCTGGACCCAACCCAGGCATGGATTCAAACCCTCCTGCTTGACCACTTCATGGGAAGGGCATTCATGCCACACCCTGTGTTTGGACTTCACCCCCCAGGTTGTATAGGAAGAATTTCAGATGGCAGGGGTGGCTGGGGGGAGGGATGGTGAGTGATAGGATCATGCTAATGTGCGAAAGCTCAGCTGGCCAGAAAGACCAGCATGGGGACTTCCCTGGTGGCGCAGCAGTTAAGAATCCGCCTGCCAATGCAGGGGACACAGGTTCAAGCCCTCGTCCGGGAAGATCGCACATACCGCTGAGCAACTAAGCCCATGTGCCACAACTACTGAGCCTGCGCCCTACAGCCTGAGAGCCACAACTACTGAGCCCACATGCCAAAACTACTGAAGCCCGTGCACCTAGAGCCCATGCTCCGCAACAAGAGAAGCCACCACAATGAGAAGCCTGCACACTGCAATGAAGAGTAGCCCCCGCTCGCCACAACTAGAGAAAGCCTATGCGCAGCAACGAAGACTCAATGCAGCCAAAAGTAAATAAATTTATTTTTTTAAAAAAAGAGTGAATCCGAAAATAAAAGGAAAAAAAGTGAAGAGAAAGCACTTTGTAAGTTTTGTGCAGAATGAAATACATGTGCCCATCCCAACCAGGGATGTAAAGTACGATTTTGGTGATTCCACATAAGAGTCAAATGCTCTCGTGCTCTCATTTAAACTGGCATTGCACAATATAAAGATGAATGGTGGGCTTCCCTGGTGGCGCAGTGGTTGAGAGTCCGCCTGCTGATGCAGGTGACACAGGTTCATGACCCGGTCCGGGAAGATCCCACATGCTGCGGAGCGGCTGGGCCCGTGAGCCATGGCTGCTGAGCCTGCGCCTCCGGAGCCTGTGCTCCGCAACGGGAGAGACCACAACAGTGAGAGGCCCGTGTACCGCAAAAAAAAAAATGTTGGAAGATTTGCATTTTCCTGTGGTTCAACCTAAAAATGTAGCCAATCAATAGGTAATAATTTCAATAGATGTATAAAAGTATATGATAAAACTCACCACCCATTCCTGATTAAAACCTCCTTTTTGAGGCTTCCCTGGTGGCGCAGTGGTTGAGAGTCCGCCTGCCGATGCAGGGGACACGGGTTCGTGCCCCAGTCCGGGAAGCTCCCACATGCCGCGGAGCGGCTGGGCCCGTGAGCCATGGCCGCTGAGCCTGCGCGTCCAGAGCCTGTGCTCCGCAACGGGAGAGGCCACAACAGTGAGAGGCCCGCATACCGCAAAAAAAAAAAAAAAAAATGAATGGTAATATTCACACTAATAATAGAAACATTTAATTTTAATTTAGCTAGAGTGACATTTTTAAAAAACACCATTTTTAAAAATGAGAGATGTGGAAAAGAGGAAAACCTTTGTATTTAGTATCTTTACCAACATTTTCTTCCCACTTGTTGAACAAGGCACCCCACAAAGTATGTAGCCAGCCCTATGGTCAAGGAGGAAGGGACCAGGCCCTGTGACCCTATGACCACAGGTCCCATAGCCCAAGGGCTGTGTCCCAGGGAGCCAGAGGCTAGCGACTCAGTATGAGGCCACGGCCCCGTGGCCTGAGTTCCTGGTGTGGTCAGCCTGGCCTCAGACTCAGCATCTGAGCCAGGAGGACCCTGAGTCCTCCCGGCCATGGTGTAGGGGGAGGGACAGAGAAAAGGGAGAGAAAGGTCAGCAGGGCCAGCCAGTGAGTGACCGTGGCCTGGCCACCCCTCACTTCTCTGAACCTCAGTACCCCGCTCTGACCTGTGCACTGCATTCTTCTCAGACTGCAGGAGGGGAAACAGCCAAAGGGCGGAGCATCTTGTGAGCTGCCAGTGTAAAGAGGCACCAGCAGGTAGCAAGTCGCCACTGGCCAGGACTCCAGACCCCCATCCCTGAAGGCCGGCACTGGCCACCCCGGGAGGGACCTGGGCTGAGGTCCGAGAACTCTGCTGAGGGGTCCTAGGGACTGAGACGGTGCTACATGGGGCCCAGAGTCAGGGAGAGCCAGGGGGACCTGAGCTGCTTGTCGTAGTGGCAGGGTGTTCCGGGCTAAAACATCTGGAAACGCGAGTACCCAGGGAAGCACTGAGGGGCTCTGTGTCAAAGGTCAAGAGGCCACAGGCCAGGCAGAGTATGGCCTGGACCAGGGGTGGGCACTGACCATCAGCACACGTGGTCACCCCGGGGCCACCTTCCCTGTCCAGGCCCTCAGGGCAGCAGGATCAAGGAAGTTTCCCCAGAGAAGGAGGGGCACGTCTCCTTGGTGTTGGTCCCGCTCACAGGGCACAGGCGGGCCCTTCTGGGAAGAGGCCTTCCCAGTGTCCGCCCTGTGCAGAAACAGCCCTGACACTGCCCCTGCCCCTCCCTTTCTCGGATGCCCGACATTCTCTGCACAGAACATGCAGCCCATAAACTCAAGACGGCCTGTTCTTGCTGTAGAATGTTCAGGAAAAGACAAAAAGACACCACGGGAGAAATAAAACGCCCCCCCAGATACCCCTGCGCCTGGGCTCCTCCTCCTTCTCCGTTACCTGTGGACCGTGTGCTGAACTGGACCCATGACTCCCTCTCCCTGAAGGGCACCCCCACAACCACGGAAAACAACACCACGTTGTGTCGTTGTGGATTCTATTTCTTCCTTCGTCTGCCCTTCATTTTCTTAATTCTCAGAGTAAACACGCATTACTTTCAAAGTGGAAAAAAATGGTCCACCTTATTAGGAATTCTTTTTTTGTTTACAAATGCGGCCCGAGGCAGCAGCTGCCCAGTCTGGGCTCCGTCCAAGCCGGAAGCCCCTTGGTCCCCCTGGGGCAGCCCCAGCCGCCCGCCCTGCCCTCCCCTCCCCTCCCCGCCTGCCAGCCTGGCCCTGGCCCTGCTCGCCCTGAAGGCTGCCCTCAGGCTGGCCCCGGCCCTCACCTTGCCAGGTAGGCCCAGGAGGGTCATCCTGAACTCCCTCCCCTCCAGGTGCGCCCCTGAAACACTGCCGGACCTGGCAGTTTGGTAACTGGGACAAGAGGAGAGAACGGGGGAGGCACACCCCGCAGCGGGGTGTGTCAGTGACAGCAGAAGAGTGGAGTACTGCCCAAAGATGCCCGTGTGCTGGGGCACTAGAGCCACAGGGCCCAGGCCACTGTCCCAGGGTGAAAAGTGACCGGGCAGCTAACTGGGCATGGGGGGAGCCTGTCCTGGCCCCTCAGGGTCTTAACTCCACCTCCTGCAGTGCGCCTGAGGCCTCGTTTCCTAATTTTTACAGCTGATTCACACTTTTGTCAGCTGTGTCACATTTCTGGCAGATTTTTTCTTTCCTAGAAGCAGAGCAGAGCGCTGGGCTGCTGGGGACCCGCCTCCCCATGGTTCTGTCCTTGCCCCACCTTGCTTTCCCCTGAGGAGCCCCAGGGGAGGCGGGATCTGGCCACCCCCCACCCACCTGCCCATCCTGTGTGCAGGGCAGGCGTGTGTCCAGAGCTCAGCTCCTCCTCCGAGGATTCCTGCACAATCTCCTGTGTCAACGATGAGAACTGTCCCCAAGGCACCAGGTGCTGCGCCAGGAGCCCCTGCTGCTGATCCTGCATGGTCCCCCTCATAGGTAACGCCGCCGTCCCTGCGCCCCAGTGGAGCCCCATCTGGAGGGAGGGAGGGACCAGCTTTGTCAAGGGTCCCCTTGAGCCGGCACTCCACACTCCGCTCTCAGTGAACCCCCCAGTGGCCCCATAAAAGCCCGGTCATGACACCGCTTCACCTGCTGGACCCACTGGAGGCCCAGCTGAGGCTCGCCCACTTCCTCCCAACATCACCAGTGCCTGGCTCAGCGATCCATGAGGGCTGCTGTCTCCCTCCCAGCCTTCAAGCTCCAGGCCACCAAGGGGGGGTGAAGGTTGGGGGCCGCCAGAGACCAGCAGTGGGGCAGCCCCAGCAAGCCAGCGGGCGATGAAGGCCTGGCCCGCCTCTCCCCTAGTACCTGTTCCAAAGGCTGGCCGCTGTCCCCGGGTGCAGGCCCTGCTGGCCCCAAAGCTCTGCTTAGAGAGAAACGAGTGATCCAGGGATGACCAATTATGGAAAACCAGAAGTGCTGCTTCAGCTCGTCGTGTGCCATGAGGTGTATGGTCCCCACCACAGGTAAGCATCCCGGAGACCCCGCCCTCAAGACACCTTCCCGAGACACTGCCCTGGGGATGGTGGACTTGGCTTCTCCCTTTGCCTCCCCTGACCTTGGGGCCTCTGCAGGTCCCTGAGGGCAGTAAGACACAGGAGAGGGCGGGGGCTCAGGCAGCAGTGACCCAGGGCTGCAACAGCTGCAGGCCTCTGCATACACTTGATGCCGTTGGGTTAGAGTGGGTCTCAGACTAGCAAAGGGGGCTCAGAGGAACACTTGCTTGGTGGGACTTGGTCCAGCTGGGCCCACCTGCAATGCTTGTGCCTTTGCCACTTAATCTGGGGAGGAGCTCTGGGTTAGGAGCCCAGAGACATGGTTCCCAGATGACAGTCCCTGCCAGCTGCGACCTCGCCTGCCTGCCTGCCCACGGGCGATAGTGAGGGCCCGAGACAGTAGTGTGGAGGGCTCACTGGCCCACACACAGCATCCCTCCCTCCCCTGCCTCCACCGTGACCAGGCTCCACCTCCTCTGAGGCCTCCGCGTCCCCTGCAGAGGGCTCTCTCCAGTGAGGGACATCCCTGAGAGCCCCTGGCTGCCAGGAGTGACCGGTCCAAGTCCTCTCAGCCAGAATCTTCTCTCTTGGATCCAGTCAGCCCAAGATGCCTCCTACCTGCTGCTAATAAAAACCCACTTGGGGCTTCCCTGGTGGTGCAGCGGTTGGGAGTCCACCTGCTGATGCAGGGGACACGGGTTCGTGCCCCAGTCCGGGAAGATCCCACATGCCGCGGAGCGGCTGGGCCCGTGAGCCATGGCCGCTGGGCCTGCGTGTCCGGAGCCTGTGCTCTGCAATGGGAGAGGCCACAACAGTGAGAGGCCCGCGTACCGCAAAACAAACAAACAAACAAACCAAAAAAACCACTTGGCTTCACGTCTCTCGGTCCTCTGTCTGTCTGTCCTTGGCACCTGCCCGGGGTGGCGGGGGGCGGGCGAAGCACACAGGCCTTGCCCCCAGGAGCTCCCCAGCAGGCCTGGAAGCTCCTGGAAGAGCCAGGCGCTGGGAGCTGGGGGCCATGGTGGCGTCTCTGGGCTGGGAGAGACTTGTCCACCAGGCTCTCAGTGCCAGCCCCTGGGGTCTGACCCCTTTCAGAGGTGCTGATGAATGGGCTCGGGAGCATGAGCAGAGGCTGCAGGGAGGGCTTGGGGCTCAGCGGCTGCCAGACCTCACTGGCCTTGACCAGCTTCGGGGACACACAGAGGGCAAGGTGTTAGAGGCTGTTCCTCGGGCAGCCTGGTTTAGAGCCTCCAGTGACGTGTGCATACCCCACCCCACACCCAGTGAGTGTCTTATAATTCATTTCAGCTCTGACAAAACCAGCCAGAGGGAAGTCCCTCTGGTCCAGGGATTAGGGCTCCACACTTCCACAGCCAAGGACATGGCTTCAGTCCCTGGTTGGGGAACTGTGCAGCTCCCACAAGCTGTGCAGTGCAGTGCAGCCAAAAACAAAAACAAAAAACTACCCAGAGTTCAAGTCAGGCCCCACAATCAAGGGCTCAATCCCATAAGGCAGGGGTCCCCAAACCCTGGGCCACAGACTGGTACAGTTTGCAGCCTGTTAGGAACCATGCGGCACAGCAGGAGGTGAGTGGCGGGCGAGAGAGCGAAGCTTCGTCTGCTGCTCCCATCGCTCCCCATCGCTCCCCATCCCTCCCCCATCCCTCCCCATCGCTCCCCCATCACTCCCCATCGCTCCCCCATCGCTCCCCATCGCTCCCCATCGCTCTCCATCACTCCCCATCACTTCCCCATCACTCCCCCATCGCTCCCCATTGCTCCCCATCGTTCCCCATCACTCCCCCATTGCTCCCCATCACTCCCCATCACTCCCCCATCGCTCCCCATCGCTCCCCCATCGCTCCCCATCACTCCCCATCCCTCCCCCATCGCTCCCCATCACTTCCCCATCGCTCCCCATCGCTCCCCATCACTCCCCATCACTTCCCCGTCACTCCCCATCACTCCCTGTCCCTCCCCATCACTTCCCCATCACTCCCCATCACTCC